TTTTAAGTATTGCTATGGTAGGCATTCAAATTGGAATTGAACAATATTGTTCGTTGAAGATGTATCTGAATTTTATTTTATCATTATTATTATTATTATTATAACATTATTATCTACGATAATACGTACAAGAATTAATTAAAATCTGTACATACAGGTAACCATAATGTAAACATAATAAAAGGATTTTAAAAAATTGGTTTTGATTCTGTACATATTAAATATTATTGACTTATAACGCATAATCTGATATCAAACACCAGTATTTATTAGTTATAAGTTAATATGTATTTAAAATTTGGATGAGCGGAGTAGTACATCAACACTTTGAGGGGTAGCCTGTAGTACCACCCCACTCCACTAATCTTATCCATAAATAATAATTATTAAATAACTACCTACTGCAGGCTACTATAGTATGAATTCTGACATACTGAAACCTAAAACGTAACCACTTTTCGAGAAAATTAGTGCTTATCTTTAAAGTAATCACCCTGTATAGTATTATCGCACCGTCGTAATTTACATATGTGTTTCAAACCTACGAGCAATAGTAATTTATTCGAAAACAAATCGAATCTACTTGTACATCCGAATAAAATTATACCAACCGATATTTACTCCTCAAAATGTATTACCGCCGATCTCATAACATTAGGATCGTCTTGATTTTATGCGCAGGAGTTTGAATAAATGTGCGTATATTATAGGTATATAAATCGACTGTGTGCAAACTCAAATGAATTCCTCTCAACGCATAAACTTACAATTTTGTTGCGATACAAAACCTAATAGTATAGTGAACTATATGTCTGTTGGGCCTAATAAAAAATCGTTATCGTATTCAATAAATTGTTATTCAAAACGGAATTATTCATGTGAGGGAGTTGATAATAATTTTGTTGTCACTTATAGTGAATACATTTGTATACGACTAGGTATATAGTACCTATGTAGCCATATATAAAGTTATCGATTGTAGGGGAAAAAGTAGACAAATATTCGACTATATCATAAATATTAAAATATCTTTTTGGAGTACAAAATTAATATTTATATTATTTGTTGGGTCAAGATAATTTTTAAATATTTAACGTAGGTAGCTGATTTAATAATTCACACTTCCTATGTAGAGATTTAAATATTTGGATAAAACACGATTTTGAATAAGTGGTAAAAATGAGGTTTGTTGACTCCTCCCGGACGAGATTCGTATACATTTTTCTTTTCGTTTTTCTAATCTTTGAATTTCGTTGTGCTTTACATTGCGACGGCGTTACCTCTATAATAATAAATTTAGTAAAATAAAAATCATTCATTATTGTAATTGGCTTATATTGACGATAATAACAGATTTATAATAAGTTATCTCGTCTATCGCATGTGCGTTATCGTCAATCTCAATTCAAATAATATAGGTATAACTCAATTACCTCTGCAGTATATTACTATAAATTATTATAATCGTAATTGACAATTATATTATTCTGTCGGTTGGTTGGTAAATTCAAAACTAATTGCATGGTATACTTAGAGCTTAGATACACGCAGGTACTACGATAAGTGATAACTGTACTTCGTGTATAACATAACATGTGGTATTATATTTTAAGGCTTATCGCAGCCGTCGATGTTGCAGCCCTGAGTAAAATACCTAATAGGTAATTATTAAGTCGTTGAAATTTTCTATAAAACAGAGATTTACCTTTAATTGGGAAAAATATTTATTAATAAAATGAAAGGTCATTGGGATTTATACGATAGCTGGTGTGTAATTAATAATATTAGTTATTACCTACCAACTTGACACATATGAATCAATTTATCAGTTTTTCAATACAATTTCTCTACCGTTACCAATAATTTAAATTAGATACCAAGTAATTCATTTATGTAATAATTATGTATTTATGTATAGTATTTATGTACGCTTCACATATTTTTAACAAACATGTTTTTAAATTTACATTTTAAACTATAAAAAATAAACTAACAATAATAATGATGTAATATATCTTTGTTATCTAATACTAATTTCTTTTATCAACTGCCCTCCTTTGAGTCTTATCCGTTTCGTACAAAAGTAGGGTTATAATAATAATTATAATATAATATTTGATATTATAATATTTTATGTACATTCTAATATATGTTAGGTAACTACAACAGTGCAGTTAGGTGAAATAGTAAAATAAAGCTCCAATATTCACCTAATTACCTAGGAAATAATAACGGATGTAAAGAAATCATGATTAACGAAGTCACCTACCAGCTATCATCTGTTATATATGTGTATATACATATAATACTGGCACTGATGTTAAATTATAGTGTGTACGCTATAAAAGAAAAAAGTCAAACTTTTATTATAACGATCGTAATAAAACTAATAATGTTGATGACGTTTTATGGTTGTTTTGTTAAATATTTTGTGATATTAGAGAACTAAATTTACAATTTACAAGTCCCGAAGGAAACGAGTGAATTAAATTTTAACGGTTTAATATATTTTATTATTATTGTTGTTGTTTTTGTTGTTGTTGTTGTATTTGAAACTGTCACAGATTAACTTCAAACCAAACACGCGTATATCGATTCAAAAGCGCCTCAAACTAATATTGATAAAGTAATTTTACTCGTTTTTTATAATTAATTAACAATTCAATGAGGTGTAAAATACTAAAAACGAAACCTACTATTATATAGGTACATGGCTATATTATGGTAGCCGGTAGGTGATTAAAATATTTATTTTTTTGCTAACCTTATTTTTATATTATGATTCAAATGAATTATAAAACAATATTACATAAATCAAAAATTTTTTTGGGCGATCAACAAACAGTTCGAAAAAAATATATATTATGGTATAGAAACATCTGTACTCATGGATTGGAAACTTAAATAATAACAATTATTAATATATGATTTTATATAATGTTGATAATGATAATAATAATTATACTATGAGAACGATGCATTGTTGTGTACTCCGGATTTGTAAAGCTACTGCTTATGTTTACAAGTTATTACCACTATATGAAATCTGAGGAACAATATACGTGTCAAACAACGAAAGAGATATTATCTTGCATTGGGTTTAAGTTTCAAACAAAAAGATGTATCCTCCTGATTAAAGCCTTTATAAGGAGTCGACGTCTGGGAAAAATACAAAACATAACACAAAAACGGTCTAAACGTTCGTGGACATAATATTTTGAAAAGAATATTATCAAAAACAAACATTTTTATTTTTTACTTTCCAACTTTTAGACCAAACGGTTAAAATTATGAGAACAATATTATAGTATATAGTATTTACAACGCGTATTTGGATCCAAAACACAAAAAATATTTTTGTGGCATCAACTAATATAATTATACCGTAGAAGGTGTAGAAAAACCTTTTCGTCGAAAATAACAAAAATTGTATTTTGCTTTTTTATTTGTTGATTATATTGTATATTATACATTATGTATGGATAACAGAGGAAACCCGAATATTGTATATACATTATTATATAGCACGTTTTATAGAGGTACATTGTTTTATATTTTTTTTACATTGTCTTTCGTTTCGTAGTTTGAATACCAAATCGTTCGTCTATATCCCATACACCGACGACGGTGAACAATCGTGAGGTGTTATTGTAAAACTTTTCATTTTTCTTTTTTATCCTCAACAAAAATCGTTTTCCTACGCTGGTTTTCGGTAGTACTATATAAATAAAAATTGTTGTTTTCAAAGACGTGCGTATAATGTGTGTACCTACCTACCTATAATATATGATATTCGAATATACACGACACGCAGTCACGCAGAGAACGTACATTAGCACCTGTAAGGCCGTCAGAATGTCGCACTACAAATAATGATAAGATATCGGCATTTAACACGCTAGTCTGACATCGATCATTTCGCACCAACCAAGAGAAAATCGGATATTATGTGAGATAATGAGTAATGTATTACAATAATATATTATTACGATTATCTCGTATATACGCAATGAAGACCAACATTTTCTCATGCTACAAAATATGCATGATATCCTAGCTGTATATTTTATAATAATATTAGTTGAAGACAATAATTAATGATATTATAAGACACAAATATGTATACAATGATATTATGATGTACCTATGTATTATTATTTACAACTAGGTCTAGGGCTAAGCTGCAGAAAGTCTTGCGGGATAAGCATGCACTTTTATGTACACTAAAAATGGAAAATATGCATTTTAAAATACAAAATGCAAATTGAACTTTCTAAATAACATTTAAAAAAGCCGTCAGGAAGGTAACACTCTGTCGTACAGTAGGAGTCGATTGCACCTCGTAATTGAGTAAGTCACCGTAATGGATATGTGAAATTGAATTCAATGATAATTATATATAATAACTTTACACGATGAAATACGATTTGAGACGTCTAACCAAGATTACCCCAAATAATTATTTTAATAATAAAATGAAATATTAAAAAATGTGCGTATTAACCCCCCCCCAATTATTTTAAATAGTTATGAGATATATTCACTATAATCAAAGTACAAAGTAGATTCAATCCTCTACCAGAATCTTCCCTCGAAGTAGGCTATGGAATCATTTTTCTACAAGAAAAAGTGACTCCAGACACGAAAAAATAAAATAAATAAACACAATTCATTGAAAATCATTACATTTATCCCTCCGGCCATCATCTAAAACATTCGAAAATACAATTAAAATTCATATTTAAATGTATAAATAAGACTACAAAATACAACTTTTATAAATAAATAATAATACAGTTATTGTTGTCAATGTTGCTGGGTTGGCATGAACTATAATGTCGAAAAAATAAGTTTAGAATTTCGTGTGTGTATAATATTATATAGGCAGTAATATCAATTACAATGATCGAACCTTATAATTATTTCTGCTCAAAGTATAAGTAATACAAATTACCTAATATATTAATATTATGTTAAATTTACCGTCCTGGTTATAATTTTTAACTAACATTAAACGTAGTCTTACCTTTTTCCTCGTTTTCCTTATTTTCGGCCATCAACCGCGATTTTACGGAGTCTTCGAAAGGGTTCGAATGACGTCGGTGGTAGTGGGACTGAGGAAGGCATATTATTATAGTGGTCACATCTATTCCATCGTCGTAAATATCTGCATCACGGTAGGTCCATTTCATCACGGTCCACCGAAACGGCAAGGCGAGAGTACAAGCTGGCTCGTCGTTCGTCGACCGTGTCTCGAGTTGAGTACGGTGACCCAAAGTCCACGGGTAATGTGCAGGACACGTGACGTTTTTCATGTGGTGTACATGCCTGGGTAGTCTCCATATTATATAAAATGCATAGACTATAGGCACGCAATACTTTGAATGGTATTGAACACCGAAAGGATCGCCAACGATAGGACACTGCAACAGAGCCATATAATATATTTTATTTCACTTGTTTTTCTAGTGATTTTTTCGAATGTAGCGAAATTAAAAACAAATTTGACATGCTCTACAATGTTGGTTTTACGCACGTTGTTTGAATATGTTTGATCTTATATCGTTGCAAAATTGATATAGTTAAATGTTTTAGTAACACAGCTGTTTTTGTAATATTTTTGGTTTCGCGAATCGTATAATAATTATATATAGTGTGTACCTTTCCAGTTATTGCAGAGGTATGTAGTTGAGGTATACAATTGAGTAAGAAATAAATTAGTATGTTTATAGTCCGAATTTAAACCTCATCGTATTCTATACTGTTATAACATAATAATTACAATAATACGATCAATAAATTACATTTCTAGGGGGGGGGGTTATTGATCCTCCAAAATATCTAAATACTGAGAACCGTTTAAGGAAGTGATCCTGCTCGGTTCATTTATATGATATAATATTATAAACGAGATATTTTGTGAGACAAATACTCCATACTTACCTAAATAATAGTATAATCGTCCGGAAAATAGTTATTATAATATTATAGCCTGTCTTGTCATAGCTATTGCAGTAGATGTAAATGTTTTTAAGTATTGTCTTTTAGTGTGTTAATTCTAGATTCTAATTAAATGCAATATTTGTTTTATCTCCCAACCGTCGGCACTCGAATCCCTGTTCAACATTACATTGCATATTATTTCCAGGAAAATAATATTTTGTTTTGTCTTGAAGACCACAATTGTTCTGCTTTACTTCATATGATATTATACTGCTAATGCGTCCAAAATGCACGTTGACAAAACCGTTGTGAACCGCATACACGCCTATATTATATTTGTATTACCTATATACCTACCTATTTAACGCGATTCCCAGAACTGTTTTGTAACGTATATTATCATATAATATAAGGTCGTGAAATAATGGTAAGACCGTAACGTACTTACTCTATAATAAACCCAAACCAACCGCCGTCATGGAACATAATGCGTACGAGGTGTGCGTATATAAATTTATCGGACAAGATAGGCTGAGAGGTGTTAGGGGTTGGGAACATCTGACCCGGTCACGAAAAAAATAATAAAAATTTGGTACCGACGACCACGACCACGACGATGGCGGCGGCGGAGGCTGAGGTGGCGACAGCTACACGACTAATTCGCTCGTGAAACGCAAGCGCGTCGACTGCCGCCGACGTTCACAACAAGTGTGCCGCGCCGTCGGGTTCAGTATCGCGACCGGCTTTTGCCGAACTCGATCTCGTCCGGTGCATCACAGCGCTCATCGTCTAGCCACCGCTGTAAAAAGCTACATAACAGTGTCTGACGTAGTAACAAAAATAATATTATAATATTGACACAAAATATTTTCATATATTTTCACGTCGTCGTTTTCTAATGACATTAGGTCCATACTTTCCGCCGCTATTCTTTCTATTATAATAATATAATTTGTGTTAGGCGCGATCGTTTTTTTGCCATTTCGAGTTTCCGTTCGTTCCGTTTACGCGAGAGGATGAAAATCGTCGCGTCGTCGGTCGTCCGATGAAATCCACCGGTAGACTGCACCTGCAGAGGAACATCAGACCCGCCGCCGGGTCCGATGGACCTATGAAGCGTCTCGGCGTAGACCTGCACAATCAGATCGGGTTCAAGGGCCACAAGTACGACGTGAGAAGTTCGAGTTTCGAGAGTTCGGGCAAGGTATTACCGTGGACCGGGTAAGTCGATAAACGAGTACTACTCAGTATATTATTAAGTAGTTAATTAAATATATTTAGTACCTATTATTTTTTTTTAATTGAATCAATAGTATTATATAGTTGAAGAAATCGTGTTTTTTTCATGATAATATTTTAAATAAGGTGTATCGCTTAGCTTTGAAATAAAATAATGTATTATTAGTATAGAATAATGAATAGACGGATTATAAAAACAAAAACTATAATTGTAGAACAATACAATGTTATTGAGAGTCCTTATATTGTACTGTTGAGTTACCTACTAAAATAGCTTAACAAAAAACTGCGATATTTTTTTAAAAATATGTCTGACAAATGAAAATAACTTAATTTTAAATGATAAATACATCATACCATTTTAATAAATATATTTCTATGCAACGTTTAGTAATAAAACATAGTTTAATGTACCTATTTAATATTACACGTCTTATCTCTTATTGTTTTCATAAATTATATTATAGGTATCCAGATTCATATCTTATGATTTTCTGTATACATGGTATGTGTATTATAACACACGCATTATAAATTAAGGTATATAATATATACTATAATAAATGATTGGTGATCATTACGAATATAAAAATTATAACAACTGCTATAATCGAAGCATTGTAGTAATCGTACAACCTGCCAACAAGAATGATTATATTTTTGCTCCACGAGCAGTGATGGCGCCAGAACATAATATTATTAATAATACAGCTGCAGGTGGGTAGCATAATAATAATATTTATATTTTGTTTTACACCCAAAAGCAATATTGTCCACCTTAATGAGTTCGAGTAGACTGGAAGAGACGGAATAAAGTAATTTATTCAAAATTTTATTTTCATATTACCTATGTATAATATTATACAATTTCACAAAGGAATTTTCAAAATGTACAAATCTTGTAATTCAAGTTTTTGAAAACTATAAAAACGAAAAATGACTGGAGATGAAAAAATGGACCTGGAGTTAGAATCCAGGCAAACTTTAATTTGTTTTCCAAATCATTATTCACATCACTAGATCGAATGGATCACGTTGGATAATGGAATTACGAACAAATTCCTATGTCGCGCGCGTGACGGACAGAGACAGCTAATCACCGCTTATACAAAAATCAAACATAATATATCCCGTGGTCGTTCGAGGGCATATTATATACCTATATATAGTATATAGTCGAAAAGGGATTTATGGATACCCACTGTAAATTATAACTTTAGCATTGAACAAAATAACAATAATAAATTAATACAATTAGTTTTTGCATGCATGAAAAAGCCAATCCGATAAAATAATCTGTAGTAGGTACCTTTGAACGTGAGGATCAATTCTATGTATAGTACCTAACCAAACCTACTAGGTACTCAAAGGATGATGTTTTTTTAGGAGTTCAGTGCAGGCGATTTCTTCTATTTATATATTTTGTTCGTTAGTGACAAAACGGCGGACCAACCATCGATAACCCAATGTTAGCAATGAACTGTACATATAATAATATTATAAAATGATATCTACAACATTGATCGATAATAATAGGGATAAGTACGTTTTCTAATACAATATAAAATTTCAAACCTCCCCTCATAATTTCTCTAAATTTTTCGTTCATATACCTAACTATTATTTTCACATTTAATATTATATCATTAAAAAATTAAATGTAAAAGATATTGTGATGACATTCAAAATTTCACTAATTTATACTATAGACATCGTATTGCAATTTAATACGGTGTGCATACAATTCCCAACAAACATGACAACTTTTCACATAGTTATTCGACTAATTCATTTAAGATTATAATTTTATTATATTTTTTTTTTGTTCTTTCTGGTCGTCATATTAAAGTTTGAAATATACTTATGGGTGGAGGGGATACTAAACAGGTGGTTTACAACTAACCTAACCTATAATGTTGTAATTTTTTTAATGTGGAATATACGCTCGCAGCTTTAGAACTTAATTGTACCTGGTGGAATTTATCCTGTAAGCTTAATATTATAAGTTTCCGAAACTCGGGTTTGAAATGTTCCGAAATATCTCCTGACCTTATACTTTTGACATCCAACCTCCGAGATATTGTTTCCACGAATTACAAAAATAAGCTGGTCGTATAACTATAGTGTTATACCGCGTTTCTGGACTTCACCGCAACTATGGTACAAAGTTATAATATGTGTATAGATTTTGTGTTAAAACGGTATACGTATTACAATAATTGTCTTGGCAGTCAGGTTACATGTTGCTCCATCTATGGTCAACATAATTATAATGTCTAAAATCAAATACGAAACTCAAACTAATTTAAGTTTTGACTTTTTTAGGTGGAGTTCGGAGACATGGAACGAATGTTCTGATGATCTGTGCCATAAAGTTTAAACATAGAGAGATTTGAAATGCATCATTATTGTTACACGCGTTCGTGTCTATATATTATCTATTATATAGTGTACTCTTTATAAAGACGATTTAATTTATCCCGTTCTGTAAATTATAATCGATCGTCGAGGAAATGAACACAAGTTTAATGTTTTTCCAAAAGTAAAACAATAATTAATTCCTTATAGGTAGTTTTCAAGAAGAAGAAAAACAAAACCCTCGATACAGCGTAAACATTTTATTATGTAACGTATATAATATTATATTATATTCTTTCTTTTTTTGGTTCAGTTCAAAATTCTGCCAATCATTACAATATAATTTATATGACTCGATTGTGTAACACGTAGATACCAAGAGAATTTACGAAGTATTTATTTTGTGACGTAATAAGTAATCAAATCTGTAAAGTTTTAAGCTAATTTTATGAATAATATATCTAATAATGAACATAAATATAATATAGTCATATACCAGATGACCTACAATACCAACCTAGATGTGTAACTACAATCCATGCGTATTGCATAATAGACTTTCGTGGAATTAAATTCTCTTGGGCAAAAAATATTAAAATAATATTTGTCATAGGTACATGACATTACCTATATTATCTTTCACCGTACTCCTGTGAAATATTATTCAAAATTATTTTCGTCCGTATCCCAAATAGCCAATTAAAATCGAAATCGAAGCGTTATGCATCGCGTTATAAACCAAAGGATGATCAGTAATTCGATACCACATATTTTAATTCGTATAATATGTATATTATATTATATCGAGAACGTAAATCCTTTGTAGTCGTGTCTCCCCAAAGAGTTACCAACTTTTAATCAAAATTGGAACATATTTGTTAGCTCAATGTCTCAATGT